TCGCGTTAATTGACTGACTTATTTAGATGAATTGAATCGTTTAATGTGCTTTACCTGTCTAGGTAGGTTGAATCGCTTTGAATTGACTGACCTACGTAGATTACTTGATAATAGGAAATTTTTAATTAATTAGTTATAATTAACTAGCTAGTTATAGTATGAAGTATTACTAAGTGTAAAATCAAGCCACCAAGCGAAGTAAGTGATCATGGCTTGTAAATTTGGTGTAAAACAGGCATTATAACGGAAACTTGACGAGGACTGCAATAGTACTGGAGTCTGGAGTCTGCGCAGGCTGCATGGAAAAGTTTCTTCGCTCCTTCCGGACTGGGGTCGCCAGCAGCCAATCAGGTCCCGCAAAATTTTGACGGGAAGCTTTACATAACTTCAATTTCATCTCTGCGTTTCAAGTCTCCAAATTCAATCAGGAGATCATCCACACGCAAAAATGTCTCCTCATGATGATCAGCTTCACAGGAATAAGAGGAGAAAGGTGGATTCTGCGCAGGAAAATGATGCTCCTACGGATATAACGTCTCACGGGCAACTACGCAACCTTTTAACCTTCCAACAGAATGTCAATGAGGTCAAACAAGGTCAGTACACTATTACTCTTTTTGTATGTTCTGTGTAGAACCATACTCACAGAGTAACACCAGGCATTAAGAAATTCAAAGAATTTCTTCTCGCAACTGGGCAGACTGAGAACGAGGGCGAGAAAGCCAAGAAATTCCGTATCCTCAAAGCCTATTGCGATTCGCAAATCTCGCATGAAGAAGAGCCTTCTTGCTTTCCAGATCTAATCCAAACTTGGAATTTTGCAGATAGTAACAATAATGAGTCGTTGCTGACTGTGGTTCCGTCGGTGTTGGCTCTTTTTATCAAGACTGTATCTACTAACTTGGATTTCCGGGAGTTTGGATTAGCTCTATGCAAGTTTCTGTTGAAAAAGGAACAACTAAGGTTTTTCAACCGCGGCTTGACGGCAACGAAATCTAAGGAGCATCTAATATCGCCCTGTCTTCGTCTCCTTACTGAAATTGTCAGCTTCGATGGAGGTGCTGTTGCACGTCATGTCTACGCCGTGCGGTATATTACTTTTAAACGCATAGAAGTATTTCTAACTCCGAACAAGTCTCAATTAGAGGAGGCTTCAGATGACAGCCAAAAGTCGACTCTCCGACGGAATGCTCAACGATATGTTCTGGCAAACTTGAGATTCCAGCATGCTAGTGCGAAGAGCGACATTATTGAACAGTACAAGGTCATCAGAGCATTCTTGGAGTATGTAAGAAAAGATCCCCGAGATACTGTTTTGGATATCATCAGAGCCATCGAGAGGGATATTGTGCAAGATACTTCCCTTTCCAGGAATGCGAAGACGAAGTTTTTCAACCGAGGGAACTTGGAGAAACTTGTGACGCTCTACGGCTACGACAGAGAGTCTGAGGAGCCGAATCCCACTGGCGTATCTATCGCCAGTGAGATCCATAAGATTCTGATGAATGTCTGCACTAACTCTAGTCATGGCGTCTTACTGTCGGAGACGAGCTGGTACCCTAACGGGAGTGACCCGGAGTCCTTGCCAGGGGAGGAAGACACATCGATCGACTTGGGGCTTGATTCTGCAGTATATGTCGACAAATACCGAGAGTCCGTGCCTGTTCGTAACGGGATACTATCTTACCTCGCTCAGACTCTTCGTCCAGACGCAGACAGCCTGCAGATCGAGCTTCTGGTAGCCATCTTTAAAGAAGCGCCGGAGCTTGTTGCCGATTTTTTCACAAAGAAAACCATGTTTGTTTCAGACCCGAGACCTACATCATCATGGATGGCAGAGTCCGCGCTTCTTTTTTCCACGGTCAGCTTGCCTGTTCCAACGAACTTTGGTTGGAAGGATAAACTGCCTTCTATGCCGCCTCCCGTATCGGTAGTGATCGAGAACATCCTGCCTCGTCCGCTTAGCCAGAAGACCCTAACCCGCTGCCTGAATTTAAATGCGGAGATAATTACTTTGTTTGCGGTTCGGATTTTGACAATCTCTTTCAACAAGCTGCGAAAGGTTCTTCGTATTTTTAATTCAGATCATGGTGTCAGCCAGTCATTTTGGACTCAGGCCAAAGGCAAATTAATCGCGGAATTCTGTCGTCGATGTCCCTCAATGAAAGATGTTGTATCGCTGTACAAGAAAACTGCCAAGGAGGATCTGCAGCAGCAAGAAGCTGTGGCCGAGCTGCTCGCCTGTTTCTATGAAATTGTGCCTGATGTGGCATTTGAAGAAACTTTCGATGTTTCTCTTGTTTTGGTTGATATCTTGAAACGTTTGGACGAGTCAAGTCCTAGTGAGGAAGACTCAGAATCATTGCTTGCTCAATTGGGTAGCATCCTTAAGATCGCACAGCAATCCGCATCGATGCGCTGGTGGCAACAACCTGGTAAGTACGTCGTAATATTGTTGCCCTGAACGTCTTGCTAATATGGTTATAGGGTCTATGCAATTCTCTGCATTCACCTCGATTCTCAAGGTTGTGGTGGGGGCATCATCTCGTGATTCTCTCAAAGATATTGAGGTCCTGCTGAAGACTGTGCTTACGGAGAACTCTGTCTTGCAAGACTCAGGCTCCTATCTGTCACTCGTATCTAGCTTTGAGACTTCCGACTCTGGAAGTCTGCACCATCAATTATCCTTTTTCGATAACTGTGTTTGTCGGGTAGCAAAAAAACCCGTTCACTACCAAGACTTGCTTGGGTCGCTGTGTGAGGCAGTATCAAAACCGGTCAGCCCTATCGTAGCTGCAATTACTGAACAATGGCCGTTTGTTGTTAAGTCTGGAGGTGATGCAGAAAGCGCCGTTGGTGCATGGATTGCTAAAATTCTTGGGAAGTTGAAAGGCTCTGGGGAAGACTCAAAAGCGTTAAAGGCTGCCCGGGATACTTTGGTAGCAGCCACTGAGAATAAGCGCACCAAGTCGACTCTGAAAAAGGCATTAAAAGATACCGAAGAGGGGCCAAGTCAGGATAGCAACAGACGAGAGTCTAGCACAACACAACCGACAACCTCACGTTCAAACAACGAGAAGTCAACCGTGGACTTGGAGGAGATATTCGGTACATTACCCACGGAAGGCACAACTCACAATGCATTGCATAGATGGGAGAAGGAGGACATCGAGATCTCCGTTGAGCAAGGCCGGGTGGCAGATTTGATGCTCTGCCTGTGCTCAGAACACGAAGAAGTCAGAAGACAGGCATTCGCTAACATAACTCGATTTATGTCCAAGATCCGAGTAAGTTGATACTTTTCCTATGATGGCTAAATGGAGAGATTACATGACTCACAATACCAGGAATCCAAATATGTCGAGTGGAGGTCGGTGTTCCTTCTCACCGGTGAACTCCTAGAGACGGTGAAGCAGATTGGTCTAGAGTCGCCCGTGCCATGGATTGTGGGAGAGTGTGCCTCCAACTGTCTCGCAGTTCTCGTCAATCCAATGCACAAGCTCTATGGAAAAGTCAACAAGTTCCTTCAGAAGTCACCTTCCTGGGAACCAGAGAAGATTCCATCGTATTGGATTGACAAGATTCTGTTGCACGAACCCGAATTGGATGATGGTTACTTCGAGGAGACCAACTGGCTACTGGATCTACTCATTAAAGGCCTTCGCACAGAGACTGTAAGCTACCATGTCGTATACCATGCGAAACATCATTAACGAGCTTACAGGATATGGGGATCTACCGCCGCGCGAATGTGTTTGAACGAGCACTTTCGTTCTATGAATCACCCGGACCCAGCCTTCCATCCAAGCGAAAGATTTTACACCTACTGTATCGCTCAACACAGGTCCAAGGTAGCACAACTTTGATTACTCGGGCTGGTATTGTCAGCTGGATCCAGAGCCAAATTCCAGCATTGGGTGGTAAGGAGGTGCCAACTTTTACGGCCATGGCGTTCTCTTTGTATGAATCCTCGGAACAGGATCGGGTTATGAAATGGAGTGGAGGATCTGTGGCACAGGTTGTTGAAAACATTGCTGTGTAGATGCTTAATAATTTAGGAGAGGATGTAAATCCTTTTCTTCTATAGATATAATGCTAAATATTTTTTCAACGTTTTTCCCTTTTTCTTTCTGAATCGCTTCTCTACCAGTTACCATCGTATCAATACTTATAGTGTTTGTTAATTTTGCACTATGGTGATTATCTAGTACTAAAGCTTTGTCAAAATAATGAACGTCATGTTACCAAAATATATAAAAGTGAATGAGTCCTCCTCACCAAAGGAGCGCTAGGAATACCTGTGAATAGTAGCGAATGATATCTCCTACCGTCACATACTGATAGACCTTAGAATAAATATTGTGACTTTTGTGTATAAAAGAATGAGTGCATAGAATAATTAGAATGCTTGTGTTTGACTTGATGATGCTGGTTGTTGGTGTTGTTGTTTGTCGAGGTACAAAGCGACTTTCCCCATTCGGAAGGTCGAGTGCAAGAGCCTGAGGCCGACGGCCGAAACAAACGTTTTGCGGCCACAAGTTCAGATCGGGCGCTCTCCGTTGAAACCATTCACCACAACAACCCCCCATCATTTACCTACGACCTACTAACCATCGGCTGTGTCGCCTTTTATTTCCCACCTTCCACTCGGCTTCTGCAACGATAGTTAACTACATTCTTAACTGCCAGATAAAATCTTTTGATCTGACAACGGAATCTCCTGTGCCCCTCATCGAGTCCCCGAGTTGACTGACCGATTGAAACTCCGCCAATCTTGCCACTAGCAAGTGGCTTTGCTTCACTGCACCTCTCTACACCGCACCCTCCATTACACAAGGACCGTTACCCCAGACTACACACACACGTACACACATACACACGCTCTCCCCCCTCTGATCCGACGTTCCCTGCGACTGCTCCAGCTCCCGCCTCTGATCCTTGCGAACCAATGAGAACGTTCTAACGGTCTGCCGATAACATCACACACTTCAGCCATCCTCATGGCGCGACGTTACCAGATTGATGAGCTGCTATGGCTACGCTCGTCGCCCCTGGTCGTTAAGCCTGCAAACTTACCTCCGGTAGAAGAATGGATGGGGTAGGGGATTCTTGTGGTTGCCCTTATGATTCGGAGGCTGACTTGGCCGATGTTGAACTAGCCCGATACCCGACCCAACGACACAGAGAAAAACCACCGGCCCTCGCGACCCCAATAATCCAAATGAGACGACACCTCGACGGCCGAGCATCTTTGAGACTCGTCATGTCTCCCGCAATTCGAATTCAGGTAAATATAGGAGCATTGTCTTATGGCTGTCCTCTATTGGTGCCGAGACGGACTGTTCTAAAGAGTTCATCGCTAACTGAGGACATTGTTAATTCCTTGTAGAGGATATTATTCTTGGGCCACCAAAAACTGCGTTCGCGTCCGCATCTCGCATACCGGGCAAGGGCTCGATAGATGCTACTGAACGGCCATCCAGGCAACCTGATTCGGACGACATCAAGAATGACCGCTTAAATTTCCGCGGCAAGTTCTTCAAGGATAGGGAAGCTGGTGATAGTAATTTTGACCGACGTGACGGAAAGTCGGACCCTTTCACTCCTCGTCGTGGGGACAGAGATGACTGGAACGCCGGTCGTCCCCGTCGCACCTTCGGCCAGGATGAACAAGACAGAAAACCAAGACGTAACGGGGACTTTGACCGGTGGGAATCCCGTGATTTCAATCGTGAACGCGACCAGCAGACTCCGAACCATGAACGGGGAGGGAAAGATAAGGATAGTCGATTCTTTCCTCGGAGGGACGGCCAGCCGGGGCGTGCCCGACATGAAGGAAGCTGGTTCCGCGATGACGGCAATCAGGACGGCCCCGATGCCGAGGAAGAAAAGACCCCGATACGGAGCCGAGATTGGCGTCGAGACCGGCACGGTGCTGACCGGGATTGGACTCGAGGAGCCAAATTTGAACAGGATCCTGAGTGGTTGGATTCTAATGATAAGGAAGAGCCCCGAAGGGTGCACACTCAGGAAGATTTCGAACGTTGGAAAGAAAGGATGAAAGCGGGATCTTCTCAGGCTCCTGTAGAGGAGAAGAAAGAGACACCCATGGAATCGACTCCGGCCCCTGCTCAGAAGCCGGAGCCTAGACCAACAGACGGCGAAATTTTCAGCAGCAGCGGCACACCGTTCCAATCAGATACAGCAATGGAACGCTTTTTCGGACTTCTGGGTGACTCCAAATCTCCTCAGGAAATCGCTACCTCGTCACCTTTAGAGGCCCCCTTAGTCAGTCAGGCTACCCCCAAGAAGGAAAATATTCCGGGGAAGCCTTTCAAATCTTCTCGTTTTGCTGGGTTGTTTAGCCCACCCCCCGGCAGTCCGGCAAAAGAGACCGATTCGCAGCTGGGGAATAAGTCTCCTACTGTCCAGCCGTCTACTACTGATGCTGACCAGGAAGGGTTTCAGCGTATTCTACAGATGCTGGGAGGGAGCAAGTCGCGCAATGCTACTCCTCACAACGACGCCGTGCAAGCCAATAGGCCTCCATCTCTTCCCCAAGCAGAATCTGTCCAAAGCGCTATCTCATCCCCCTCCCGCGAGCAAGTCAAGCGGCCAGAACCCATGCTCATGCAGGAGAGTTCTATGCGGAGTGCTGGTCCTGCTATGGATCCCCAAGCCCGAGAACGGGAACATTTACTTCGCCTAATGCAGCAAGTCCGTGTCACTCCCGTTACAAATCAGGCTCAAGGTAGCCATGGTCAACCACAAAGTGCCGGCGCCGCTCCTGGTATGATGAACATGCCAGATATGCTCCCACCTCCTCCAGGGCTTGCTTCTGCACCAAAGGCTCCTAACTTCATTGATGATCCGGCGATTGCTAATATGCAGAGAGCGGAGCCTGATCAGCTTCGGCGACGACCCGCGAATGGGCCTCCGATGGGTTACTTTGAGGATATGCCGTTCCCTCAAGGCGGCCAAGTTCCGATCACCCCCGGTGGAAGTCGGGCTCCTCAAGGTCAAGGTATACCTGGCATGGGCGTGCAGAGGCCGCCAGGCTTCGACCACTTGCCGCCTCCCGGATGGGCTGGCCACCAGCTTCCTCCACAGCAGGGCGGTGGCCCCGGTCCTCTCGCGCCTCCACCGGGTATTCCTACACCAACACGGGGCGTCAACCCTAATTTTATGTCTAATATGATGCCAATGCATGGTAATGTTCCACCGCTCGGTGAGCGCCAACCCTTCCCACGTGGTGCGGGTGGCAATGGATCAGCGGGATTCCCGCCTCCCCCGGGTATGATGCCTCCTCCGGGTTACATGAACGGCCCTCCCCCGTCTGGCTTCCCGCCCATGCCACCCAATGCCGAAGCTCTGATGGGTCTTGGCCATGGTGGTCAGGGTCCATTCGACGGTAACCCCGGTCCACAGGGGCCTCCGCACTCCTCTCGGCACTTATTGGATATGTTTGGACAAGTCGGCGCTGGAGATGCTCGGGGCGGTATGGTAGGTCCGGGCCAGTTCAGATAAGCAGACATATGGATTTAGCCGCGCTCCTTGATGCGAAATACGCGTGGCATATGGCGGGATTATTGCTGGGCTCATCAGGCCACTTTTTTGCCAAATTTGATATGTATTCCAAGTCTATGTGTTGCTTTCCCTGGTGCCCACCGTCTGTGCGTAGCAAGGACTGGCTTTTATCTGTTTAAATCTCCTGCCATTTGCCCTGAGAGTGTCGAAAGAGTGTGAATGGGGTTGCTGCCGAAGCTCCATTCCTAGGCTGATCGAAATGAAAGTAATAGGCGGATTGAACAATCTCTAGTGAAGTATGTGATCTAACAGGATAGATCGTACAAACCCTACTTGCTTAGCAGATGACTGGATACTTGCAATCATTCTATTACTTGAAAAGAGGTTTCCATCTGTAAAATTATTGCTCACTGTATGCTCATATCTTTGACCCTGTTGGACCAATGTCCAGGTGATTGGCTGTGAATGTCATATCCTAAGCAGTTCTGGCCAGTGAAGGGCACCATCGAAAATTTTCCAGCTAGTGTTTTATCCTGTTCAGTGAATGGCAGGGCAGGGCACTTCGCGATGCACTTTTGCACATACATCTTTTGCACACGATGCAATTCCCTTCCACCTACAGCACAGTCCACATACATCACTTCAATATTCCGCGATCAATATTTCACAATACAAAGTAACTCTAGGTTACCATGGCGCCCAACCCAAAGGCAAGTAGATTTCTTTATTCGACCGCGTCTGCTGATCTTCAAACCCCCTTACTCCATCCTCCCGTCTGGACACTTTTTACTCCATACCTACAGCTTTCACCACAGCCATACATCCACCCTAGCGAACAAGGCAAGTCTTTCATCTATTCACCTGATCTAAACTACTAGAGTGCCTAATTTCTAACAAATCAAAAGCCAGAAACTCTACAATAAGCTAGAGACGCAGAGGCGTCAATACCTCAACCTGTAATCGACATCCACACTTTCTGCGTAGTGATGGAGAAAAGGAGCCCATCCAGGGCTCAAATGGGTCAATAGAAAAAGCGAAACGGCTAACAGGTATATTCTACCCAGCTTGGCGATATGATGGACGAGGTCGACTTCGAGCTTTGCTTGGACATCGACCAATATGTGAGTAATTCCTCTTCCTCGCTTTCATACTCGATACAGATCATACGCAATCCCGGAGCCAGAGAAACCTCTATCTTTGTCAATCGAAAATAACCAGGGGGTAAAATCAGGTAGCCACCTCTCGTCGCGAGCCAAAGCGACTATCTACTCAGTCCGCCACAGACTCAGTCAAGCACGACAACGTCCGAACTGTGACAATCCCCAATCCCAAAGTCCGCAAGCACGGGGAACTAGAGTCTACCACTGACATCGACGACAACATCACCCAAGAGCCGCTTCACTACGCATGGCAATGCAAGAGACTCAAGGTTGCAAACCAGGAAAAGTCAGACCTCGAGGATGACCATGATCTCGACATCGCGATCAAACGCATCACCACTCATCACGATCATGAAATACTCTTAGACGCCGACGAAACAGACCTAGAAACTCACAGCTCAACCAATACCTCGACCGCAGCTATCAACGAAGAAAAAATGGGCCTGGACACCGACATGGACGGTGAAGTCCACGCCAACTCAAGCAGCTACAGCATAGCCACCAGCCCGTCTCACTCCTACATCGCTCGTCCCTCGCATCTATTCCATATCTACGAGGACCCGGATGACTCGCATCTGGAGAACCACCCCGGTCTCATGTCTGGCTTTACTACCTACTCCTCTGCCGATGAAGAAAAGGAGAACATCCTCGACGACGATGACTACGAGCAGCAGGAGCAGACCCAGCGAATGGGGGTAAATTCGCAGATGTGGACTCGTCACTCTACTAATCGGTTCTCGCATGTGGTCAGTTCCGGATATCAGGGGGTTGATGGGGTGGCGGATACGGACGAGGCGGATACTGATGTTGAAGAGTTTTTGACTGAGGGTGGAGAGGGTATTAGGGAGGTTGAGATGGAGGATGTCAGGGTGTCGTTTCATTCATTGGGTGCTGGGGAGGCTTCGTTGCTTCCTCTTGCTTTTCCTTTGCCTTTGAGGATCCCTTCCCCAGCGTTGGTCCAGGGTAATAGGATTGCGGGTCGGCGCCGCTGCTTGGGACCTAGGCCTGTTGTGCACTTTGAGTGATTGTTGATGTGTGAGATGCTTTGTTTCCTTAAGACTTGTACAAAACCCCTTGTTCTAACCTTCCTTTGCCGTGTCTTTCGCGGATCCTATGTACTGTACTTTTAGTGCTGGTGTTGTGTGGGTTGTTTCTTCTCTTCAAATGGCCTGTGTCTCATATTGATTTACTGACGGGGAACATGCTCATGTCTGATGGATATCGACTGCCATACTGTATTTACAATGATGTCTATTTCCGCTGCTAACACGTCCATAATGTGATCATTTCACTCATTAATGACTACTAGTCAACTTGAAGATAGCTTCACAATGGATCAAGTGATAGCCAATGAAGTAAGGCCAAGTGCATTCAAAGCCAAATCAAATAATATAATATTAAAATGATGGCATCAAACTTCCAATTCAAGCAGTAAATAGCAGTATAAGAATCAATTGTCGACCAAGATCAGAAACTAGGAAGAGAAAACCAGCTATCAAAAAAACCAAAAACCTCAAAAATATTAGAACTAATAAAACTTGAACGAAAATGATAGCAAAGTTCAATCCAATGCGGAAAAGAAAGATTCATCAGCAGAATATGCCACTAGGTCTGCGTTAATGGTTGCGTTGAATGGAAAGTCCACCTGTTGGCTCTTCGATGACTGTCCCCCCCAAACATCTTGATGAGACCGATGATCGAACCTTGATCCTTCAAAACATCATCCCCCATAGTAATGGAAATATTGGCCGTTTTTCGAGTATGCATTTTCAGTAGATACTCATAGATTGAGTCTTTGATGGTGATCTTGACAAATTCCACATCTGTAGACTTAGCGATTCTGTAGTAAAGTTATTTAGACGGGCTCATCCCAGACATCGATTGCCATTTCTATCAGATTTGCTTGATCGAAGATGAAATCGCCCTCCGGGGGCCCGTTCGAAGTCCGGAGCATGACTTGCGCGAATGGTATGATCAAGGGATGGCCCACAGTTTTGGCGATCCCATTCGAGGCACGATAGACTTTGACGGTTTGCTCCAGGGCTTTGGCGTACCGTGGGCGTTCTCTGGTTTGTGATTGTACACCAGAATATCTCTCGATATGAAGTTTATACGGATCTTTCTTAATAGACGCAATGATGACGGCTTTGACTTCGCCTTTTGAGTGTGAGATCCACCAGTCTGCATTCACTCTGAGGTGCCGTAGGCTCTCCGCCCACCCGCATTCGAGGACAAGTGTAGGCCATTTGATTGACCTCCCCGGGGGGAGAACCCTTGGACGGAAACAAGAATCCGGTTCCTTTATGTAGCTGCCATCTTTGTGTGTTTTAGAACGAGTTGCTTTTAATGCATGAGCAAGATTCATTAATTGGGTTTGGTAGGCAATTTCCAAATCAAAGAATCCCGAAGAAATCTCATGTGGGCCACCGGGGAGCTTAACGATCATTCGTCGAGTGTCTGCGTCGTATGTAATTTGGCATTTACAACCAAATACGTCAACACGCTTGTCGATCGACTGCTCTACTAGGTCAGGGCTAACATTTGTGACAAGAACATATTGTCCTCCCTTTCCTAGCTGGATTGCTTCTAATAGACGCTTCCTAATACCAGTTGCACTTGATCCGACGATTCCTGTTGTGCCTCTGGGCAAGCTTTGGGCTGACATTAGGTTATCGTCCTCTTTCAGGTCACCTTGGTATGATGGGGCTGTCGCCAGACGGCCAGTGTTCACGAGTGTAGACATTTTGCAAAATGTTTCCCGGCTATGATAGTGATGTCAGTGATGTCACTTTTCGTCATGAACCATAGAAAGAAGGATATGGGGTAGAATCATAGGAGTATGTAGTACTGGTGAAGTATATGTATAGGAGTGTGTATGATCCAGTCTGAGTGGAAGAGGATAATGATGATCAGGGAAGAGTAAGATGAGAACTAAGGCTAAGGCATATGTGAGATTTGGATACTATCACACCTCTACCTTTCATATCTCACCTTCATCTCTTACCCCATCCATACCCTCTCCAAACATCTGACCTCTAGAATTGACTCATAGACCACGGACCAGGATAGGAGCATGACACGAGATATCAGAGAGAGGTTCAAGAGGGAAGGGCTATGATGATAGTGAGTTCTAGAAGATAGAGTTTACCTTGTCTTTCAAACGACAGGATATTGGTGCGCTTTAGTACATAAACGAAGATAACAACCAGCATTACCAGCCTGAATGTATGAGTTGTATTAAACAGTGTATCATAAAACGATCCTAGGATGGAACCGGAAAGCAATGATTAAAAGCAACTAATGAAGCGACACAGTATCATCTGAATAAAACATGTATGGTGAAGTGGGAATCTCCTCTATGGTGAATAAGAATAGGTGGGCACAGAACTGTGAAAAGTTGGCTGGAAAAGGATGGGAAGATAAAGGAAGCGTGTAAATAAGGCGAGGCAACACGGTAGGTGTTTGGAAAGAGCCCATGGGCATTACCAGGAGCATGGCCACTAGACCACTGTGATGAATCTCTTGAATACAATGCCGTAAATCAGCTATAAGCGGGCCGTTTGAGGCCATGCATATGTAGGAGATGCAGCGAAGTAGATGCACACCTATGGCAGCTAAGCTTCCATTTTGGTGATCGGCGTTAATCAACATTCGTCGCGTCGACAGTTCGCCCAAGATCGCTGGTCAACGAGTACACGGACAGATCTGAGAAGCTCTCGTGGGTCGGAGCGGGTAGTTTAGTCTTGTTGATCGGCTGTGTGGCACGCTTTCCAATACGGCTGTCGGGTGGAAGATGGACAGGAGACATCAGATCGCGAGTTTGGCCAGGAAAGAGGCCCTTGTCAAGGTCACTTTGCCACAGCCTGCGTGACGCATCAAATGCCTTGTTGACTAGTCCTCGTCGAAGCTCTTCGTATTCTTCAAACAATGTGATTAGCTGACAGTCGGGATTCTCCGCCAAGAGTTTGGAAAATATAATCGCATCCTCTACCGCATACGCAGCCGATTCATCGCGCGGAGGCATCTATATTTGTATTAATCCTCTTACGAACCCAATGCCGTTAGTGGTGATGGAACTTACTGCGTGCGCGGCATCGCCGAGTAACAGTATCCGATCTGTGTACCATTTTCCTCGTTGACGAACCTGGTATACAGGGTATAGTATCCAATCCTCGGTGCGATCAATGATCTCGCGGATGTACGGTAGACTTGACATGCCGAACTGCGCCCGGACCAGGTAACGCATTGACATCCTCATGTTCTTCTGTGCCGCCAGGTCCGTTCCCGACATCGCCTGGTATTTCTCGATCAGGTGTTCGCTCACGCGAACGATAGCCGCCACAAAGAGCTTCTCGTGTTTTGGGTCGCAGTAGCTCGTTAGGAGCGAGCTATGCCGGGCGAGGTGTACCGCGGTTTGAGTAAAGGGCATCGTTGCGGTAAAGTTCCGGGCGTCGGCCATGCTTTGTATGAAAGAGATACCGGTATACTCGGATCGGTTGCCGGGATCTACGATTTTTGTTCGTGTCGCCGAGTGAACTCCATCGCATCCCAAGACCAAGTCCCCTGTGGCGGTTGAACCATCTTCGAACTGCAATGTGACATTCTCCGCCGTTGTGTTTCCTCTGACTAGCTTTTTATCGTAGTGAACCGAGACATTGGGCAGCCTGCGAGCCACTGCCAGCATGGCTTCCGACAAAGCGCTGCGCAATACCCGACGACCCTTATAGCCACCGTAACCATGTCCGTTCTCATCGGTAAATCGGAGGGGCCCCAAACGGCGGCCGGCACGCACGGAAAACAAATCAATGGCGTCCACTTCAATCCCAGCGTGATCGCTCATCTGGTTCAACTCGGATAAGACCCCTAACTCATCGAGGTACCTTTGAGCGACCGGTGTCAAACTGATGGCGCCGCCTGACGTCGTGAGCTCCCGTGAGCCATCATACACCGTGATTTTCAGTCCGGGAATGACGGGGGCGAGCTCGTTGGAAAGGGCAATAGCACTGGCGAGACCAGCAATGCCCGCACCGACGACGAGAATATCGCGCGACATTGTGGGGAACCCCTTGTGCTTCGTTTTTCGCTCGGGGAGGCCGACAGGCACACTGTCGTCGGAAAGTGGTAGGAAAAGAGGGTCACAGCGAGGATAAATCTGTTGGAGAGGTCACACAGGAGCAGATATCTGCCCTGCAGTTCGATTCATGATGTTTCGTTGTAGCATGCACATCGTTGCACTGGTCAATGGTTTAGTGTCAATTTAATTAATTTTTCTAATTTTTTTTTTCTTGCCCGTTCCATCTTTCCCCATTCCAGATTGGGATGTTCTCCGCGCCCGGCCGAAAGCTCTGTTAATTCGGGCGGTCGGTTAAACGATGCCGGCAAGCAGAGCCAATCAAGAGTTCACATTGCCACCCCTCAAATGTCATATCCAACGTGAAGAAATTGGCGTTCCATGGATCCCCCGAGAACCTCTCTGATTGGCAGCCCACGGCATAAGCTTATAGCGCCCGGGGGGCAAAAATAGATGGGTCTAGACATGCAACTTCCTTTCTTCACGGAACCAACCGATCATTTTGATCTATATCTCACCTGTTAAGCATCATGTGGTCTTGGTATTGGCAGGAGGCATCCGGAGAGCGGAGCATCGGGAACTGCATCCGCTTGAAATTAGGCAGTATTCATCATGATCCAGGATCGATAACATTTAATACACTACATGATATGTACAGAAAGCCACACTTGCCGAGGCACGAGTGCGTCAATAGAAAATGATTCCCCTGTGGAATCGGAAACTCTCAACAGCGAAGTTTTAGTCATCGTTCAGGGTGTATTTCCATATTCCATTCGGTAGCAGCGCTTGCCGCAATGTCTCCAGCTTCTTTTTCAACATGACTGTCTCCGCCTCCAACTCCCCAATATAATTAACGGCATCGGTCAGAGCTGCCATCTTCTTAGAAGCGTGCTTCCTTTGACAGTAGAAGCGGGGCCTGCCACTTCCAACCCCTCGCGTGTAATAACCTTGCAGAGACGACTCAAGTGCAGCAAAATTCTTACTGAGGTTCTCCCGGTAGCGTTTCTCAATTCGGTTATGTGCTGAGCGCCGTGATGAGGGATGCGCTGGACCTTCGTGAGGAGTAGAACTGGGTGAGCCAGATGGAGAGGATGGGGGCGGCGATAACGAGGCCACGGTTGAGCTCGAGGCTGAGCAATGAGATTGCGGGGGCAATGTGCGGGTTCTAGAAGAAATTTTCGACGGGTTCTGTATTGAATCTTGCTTGAGTGGCGGTAGCACGGGCACGTCCTCAAACTGGTTGGGCGCCGCGAATGAATGCTTCGGAGATGCCCAATTCTGGTACGCTTCCCACGGGAGAAGGTCTGCAGAAGATGGAGACCATTGTGACAAGTAGCAGGGAGAATCGGGAATATCTTGAGAATTCGGCTGCATAATCATTAGATCATGGACTAACTAGGTGACGAGGCGTCTTTCCCCACAGGGTACTTACTCGTCGATGAGGGTTGGCGGGCAGTGGCTCAATGATCGTATTAAACGCAGACATCGGCGCCACATCGGCATCTACGCCAATTAAATTATCCCATGCATAGGGAAGATCTTGGGACTGGAGTTTCCACGGGTGTGCAGAAGTTGCGGGCATTTTGCGTTGGTTGGACCGGCGGATAGTTGGGGGTACCGAACCATAAGGAGAGGGTTCAATAGCCTTAAATAAACCCGAGTCATTTCGGAATGGACGCCGCGGGTATCCAGGATGCAAAGGATTTTGCCATATGAATTAGACAGGTCAATACCAGGATTGATCTCCGACATTAGGGACTTTTTTCTTTTCGTGCGATCCTTGTAGAAAATGAGCTCATGCGACGCTGTCTGGACCGCGAAACTTTGCGCTCGGCTCCGACTCGGCGTTAGCAGGGTTTCTGTGCTTAAGCCTCTTTTCGTCCCCGTTAGCCCTAAGTCACAATTTAATTCGTGGCATTGAAGCCTCGTACAAGATTGATTGCTGAGTAGTTGATACTTGCTTCAGCAAGGAGAATGGCAGGCTGTTTTGCGGTGTTGGTATGCAAACCTTCAATTCTCCGACATATTCTCCTACCTGGCCATTACTGTAACCCCACTCTATCACAACAATGTGCTGGTGATCCTAGCGGAGCTATGATTATTCTTCAAAAATAGGTAGGACGAATGAGCGACATGATAATAATATGTAATAAGGGCATAGATAAAAAAGTACGCTATTCTGTGGGGGACTAGTAGTGAAACGCTGCATTGCAACCATCCACTATGTCCATTAGTGCTGTCGCTGATAAGGGTGGCAAGATGACCCTTGTTGAAGATTCTTTTCTAGCGCGAGCGATTGTATATTCTAGATTGATGGCCAGATCAACGGCGATCATCTTTGCAGCGGAAAAACATTATCACCTAGGCTAGCCCATCCATTGGCTGCAGATCGCCCTGTTTGCTGGTCTGTGTTCCTTGACACTTTGTGGAGAACAGACCAGGAAGTCTGCTGAACACGTTGCAGCACTTCTGTCGAATAATTTGGTGATCGTACACCAAATCATGAACCCGTTCAGGGTACCGCAAAGAGGTTTTGAGTAACCGTCTGAGATTATCATGATGTCAACACACATTGGCCGGAAGTGAAAGAGCGACAAGCTATCGATAGGCTCGGAATTGACAATTGACCAATGCTTGTTTGGGAGGGGCATGATCCTTCGTCCCGTGCATGGCGTCATAAATCGTCGCTATCAGCGAAGATCCTAATTATCAGTTAGAAGTGGTCGAAGAAACAAGAGTCAAAAGAAATTAAGTTTGGTCTGTTAGCGGTGTGCTTCGCCCACGTGCGCAGCTCACGAGAAATGAGGGGTTTCTTTTCTTTTTAGGCTACTAAACAACTAAACTCAGCAATACCCCTCGCCAGAATTTTTTTGCTTAATTTTTTTTTCTCTCCGTTAGACTTATTTCCAAGAATTCTTCGCACTCAATCTCAATCACATCACGACTGTCACAATGAACGTCTTCCAAGAGCAACGAGGAATGATCTCTCTTTTCGCCTCCGAAGGCAAAAGAGAGGGAGCGATTGTTGCCGTCATCCTCGAGGAACTCAAGTGGGTCCCCTGAACCATAACAATCCCTATAAATCCTGGCTAATTGCCTCTGTTTCAGACTCCCCTATCGCCTTCATCTGATCGAAAAAGCAGAAGATATTGATGCGAAAAGCCTCCCCGTGCTCAGGAACATCCAAAGCGACGGCGAGTCCGTCGATCTTTCCGGGTTCCACGATGTTGTGTCGTACCTGATTGCGCGCTATGACACAGCGCACGAAGTGTCCTATAAGAAGGGCTCTAAGGAGGATGAGGAGGTCAATAAATTAGTCGCATCTTTAACTGAGCCCAATGCAGCCCATCCGGAAGAGCACCGCTTCGACCTCGATGCAAAGGATGATGGCATCCCCTTCGCCAGAAAGGCTATCAGCCTGTATCTTCACCTTGAGCAGCATCTGCAGAAGTCGCACAGTAACTACCTTGTGGGCAAGAAATGGTGCGCTATTTTATATAATCCCTTCATATTGATTCTATATAAAGCTAACCATGTGCAGCACCCTTGCCGATCTCCTCCACTTTCCCTACGTGGCTGCCGCAGGCTCAGCTGGCCTCGACCTTGAGAGGTTCCCGGAGCTGACAATATGGTTCGATCGGGTTTACCAGCGACCGGCAGTGCAGAAAGGCTTCGCTGCTGCTCATATGAAGATCCGGGGGTAGAACTGCTCGCCTATCGCCAACTGACCACACCATTAGTTGTCAGTTGGCAGAGGCTGAAGTGATGTGTAGTGGACCTTTCGCTCTTTTATTTCTCTTCATAATTGTAACCACTATTCACGTTTTCTGTATAGAGTAGTGTACGCTATAGATATATACTAGGTTGCTATAGATCAAGGTCAGCGATTTGTACATTCCATCGGCTCTAGCTCTAGACAACTGATGACTTCCGTCAACGAAAATGGATTGCTCAGCGAGTCTGAATAATTTCTTAACGCCCTGCAATATAATCGTACGTTACAAATATACTCGTGTGAGACGCACCTTCTACTTCCGAAGAGTCTAGAATCACACTGCATGCATGAATGATTGCGGAGCAATGATCCACCTTATAAAAATAGTAAATGCGGGGAGAAGGCATGTGACTTCCGTTGCCTCTTATGTTAGCATAGGGTAATCATGATGATGATATCACCGTCAGATTCGCTGACTGAATCTCCCGAGTAGTTATGACAGATTTCCCTTGGCTTCCCTGTGCGGCCAACTATGGTCAGCCAAAGACATTCTGCTGGAGCCGAATACTGGTTGGCTTCGCCATGTGTCCAGTCGCCTGACTCTCGCCTCACCGGTCAGGACACCCGTGCTTTCCCGTACGGTCGTACGAGGTCTTCCGTCACGTCTGATTCACTTTATAGATAAATGTAAGCCAACATCAGCTATAATGCTGGATAATACAGCCGCTCCACACTGAATATCAACCTACAAATACATATCCTTCACCATGTGTATCGCCTTTTTTTCCACCGCCCATCCCCAATATCGCCTCATCATCTGCAACAACCGAGATGTACGTATTCTGCACGCTTCATAGACCAATGCAATATCAAATATTGACCCCGCATCACAGGAATTCCTCCACCGACCAACCTCCCGAGCAGACTGGTGGTCATCTCCTCATTCCCACGTCCTCAGCGCCCAAGATCTTGTGCGCCCCATCCACCCCACCTGGCTGGGTATCACAAAGCAAGGCCGCATCGCTGTGCTAACAAACTACCATGAAGACACTTGCGCAAAAGCCGTCGGGAAATACAGTCGCGGCGAGGTCGTCAACAGCTGGCTCACATCGTCGCCGGATAGCGCGCAAACCACCCAAGAGTTCGTGAACCAATGGACCACCAACGGGGAGTTAGCAAATATTGGCGGATTTAACCTTGTGTGTGGAAATGTTATGGAGCCGCTGGCGATTTTGGCCAGCCGAGCGTCGGAGACGGAACCGATTCTCTGGGTTGCGGACAAACCGGGCCAAACGGTCGGGCTGAGCAATACGGACTACGATGATCGGTCTTGGCCGAAAGTTGAGAAGGGGGAAGACGCGCTTGTTGATGCGATTGCGGGGCATGTTCAGAATCAGGAGAGCGAGGACGATTTGATCGAGAGGCTATTGGGCGTGCTTAGTGTGGATACGCTACCTCGATTGAGCAACGATGCTGGAGTTCAGGAATACATCCCACACCTTCCGCAGAGCGTTTTCATTCCACCTATCGGCCGTGATAAACAGGCGCGGGATGAAGCAGAACTGCCAGCTAAGCAGGACAAGAGGGAGGAGAGTCCAGTGCTACCGTCGACTCCTGAGGGGACACCCAATCGTGCATATCTAGAAGGGTTGTATGCGACACAGAAGCAGACGGTCATCTTGGTGGGGTTCGATGGGCGAGTCCGGTTCTTTGAACGTACATTGTACGACGATGATGCTCGGCCGGTCTCTACAGAGGCCCGTGACCGGTCGTTTGAGTTCCGGATTGAAAAGTAGACGCCATACAGGGGGCTTCGGTTTCACGCGATTCTAGTTCGCCCATGTATATTTAGAGAGCATTGCGGCGTTTTGGGGATATATCTCTCGAATCATAAAGTTTAGTGATGAATCTGATCCAGTCTATTGGTATGTCGGTCATTGAATAGTTTTGGGCTCAATTCCCACGTCAATGGCATCATGCTGTTGATCACGTTGTCTTCATTTCGGGACACAGGAATTCATCGGCATCCCGATACCCCATGACGCGGCGAGCTTAGATTAGAGTCGCATGTCGTGTGGGTTCATTGTGGAGCACTGATTGATATCAACCGGCCATAGTTCATGCCTCATGAGTGATTACTGTCGTTATCAGTGTAGAATCCGTCCAAGATTTTAGCGTTCTTCGGTTCCCTTATTTGCCCGTATTATAGCGCCAGCTTCTGTACTTTCGTCGCACACAGTATTCCTTAATAAGACAAAGGGCCAATGCCCAGATCGAGCGGTCCCGACAAATAACACGGTCTTGTAGGCCCAAAGGGTAAGGCAAATGCGGTTCCGGAATGGTTCGGAGGTGCCCGTCCGCAGCTACACTAATGATTATCTTCTACGGAGCCACGCCGTTCCTGATCCCCTGTCATGTTGTTTTCCTTTTTCTTGATTTATGTGTGGCAAACTGCGTTGTGATCCCCACTCAGTATTAGAATTAGGTGAATGTGAACACTTGGGTGATTCACTATCAATAAAACATGACGATGATTAGTTTAGGCATCTTTCATTCATTCTCTTGTCACACGTCTACGATTGCCCGAGTACCACCACATCGGACCATATCGACCTGTGAGAACAAAGGGAGTCCCACTGCCATCAGCCCATCACGGGACGTGGTATAGTATGCGGAGAATTCATGTCTTACCCTGCTTTCCACCCCAGATAAAATGAGTTAACCTTGCTGTCTCCAAGGATCTGTTGTCCTTTTTACCACAACATCATCGTACTAGTATCGACATCACTAACACCTACCATTTCATTTAACTCTTTGACTAGATTCACACCATGACCAACACTATATTAGATAGTTACTCTTCGAGACGCAAACTCCGCCGCATTGGCATCCTGACATCCGGAGGAGATGCCCCGGGAATGAATGGAGCTATTCGTGCAGTCGTCCGCACAGCGATCCAGAACGGCTGCGAAGCATGGGCAATCCACGAAGGCTACGAGGGACTCATCCAGGGCGGTGCAATGATGCATCCCCTATATTGGGAAGACGTTCGAGGCTTTCTATCGCGTGGAGGGACACTCATTGGATCCGTACGCTGTGACCGTTTTCGTGAACGAGAAGGTCGTCTTCAGGCTGCAAGAAATATGGTGCTTTTCGGTATCGACGCCCTAGTCGTCTGTGGTGGAGACGGAAGCTTGACCGGGGCAGACCTCTTTCGATCCGAATGGCCAGAGTTGCTCAATGAGCTGGTGTCAACTGGTGTTTTGACCGTGGCGCAAGTCGCACCACATCGGAATCTGAATATTGTTGGACTTCTCGGCTCTATCGACAATGACTTTTCCGGCACGGATGCCACCATCGGATGCTATTCTGCGTTAACACGGATCTGCGAGGCAGTCGATGCAGTTTTTGATACAGCTTCCTCTCATCGCCGAGGGTTCGTCGTCGAAGTCATGGGTCGACACTGTGGCTGGTTAGCGTTGATGGCTGCGATCGCAACTGGGGCGGATTGGTTGTTTATCCCGGAGAGGCCTCCGCGCGATGGCTGGGAGAATGATATGTGCTCAATCATCACCAAGGTACTGTTATCATTACTCTTTCTCCTGCTACACACACTTTGACAGGCCGACGTACTAATAATGCACCGATGCTAGAACCGCAACCGTGGCAAACGTCGCACTATCGTTATTCTGGCAGAAGGAGCCCAGGACAGCAACTTGGATCGCATTTCGTCGTCTGCGGTGAAAGATGTTCTGAGCAAGCGTTTAGGACTCGATACCCGCGTCACTGTTCTGGGTCATATCCAACGAGGCGGATCCCCATGCGCATACGACCGCTGGCTATCAACGTTACAGGGCATCCACGCCGTCAAAGCGGTGCTGTCTATGACTCCTGACTCGCCCTCTCCGGTGGTGATTATCCAGGAAAATAGAATCAAAATATCATCTTTGGCTGAAACTGTTGCCCTAACAAAGGAGGCTAACGCCAGTATGCATGCCAAAGAATTTGAGAAAGCAGCAACACTTCGGGATCCCGAATTCATGGAATACCATAGCGCGTACCGACACCTGAACACGAGTGATCATCCTAAGATGGCCTTGCCCAAAGATAAGGTATGCTCCTAATAACCTTGATCAAATATAAATTTAGCCTAATGTAAGTTACAGCGCATGCGGGTTGCTATCATTCATGTTGGCGCCCCAGCTGCAGGCATGAATCCAGCCACACGCGCAGTAGTCGCCTATTGTTTAACCAGGGGACACACCCCGATCGCCATCCACAACGGTTTCCCTGGTCTCTGTCGGCACCATGATGATACCCCTGGCTCGGTTCGTGAAATGCAATGGTTGGAATCTGGTGACTGGATCAACGACGGCGGGTCTGACATTGGGACCAATGCGGGACTACCATTAGACGACATGGAAACGACAGCTCAATGCTTTGAGCGGTATAAGTTTGATGCACTTTTCGTTATTGGAGGCTTCGAAGCGTTCACAGCCGTCAGTCAGCTGCGCAAGGCGCGTGAGCAATATCCTGCTTTCCGGATTCCGCTCGTCCTTCTCCCAGCAAGCATGTCAAATAATGTCCCCGGCACAGAATACTCCCTCGGAAGCGACACCAGTCTTAACACCCTTGTTTATTTCTGCGATGTTGTTCGGCAATCTGCGTCCTCCTCCGGGCACAGCGTATTCGTCGTTGAAGCGCAAGGGGCCGAGTACCAGGCGACAGCTGCGGCGCTGGCCGCGGGAGCAATGACTGTGTATACGCCTGATCGAGGAATAACTCTCCAGAGCCTCTCCAATGATATTGAGTACCTCCGCCAACAGTTCTCAAAGGATCACGGTGCCAATCGCTCGGGAAAGCTGATCATCCGCAATGATCAGACATCCACCATATACAGTACCGCCGAAATTGCAAATATTATCAAACACGAGGCCAAAAATCGCTTTAACGCGCAGGGCGTAGTGCCAGGACACTTCCAGCAAGGCGGCAAAGTCTCACCCATCGACCGCATTCGCGCGTTCCGTTTGGCCGTGAAGTGCATGGAACATTTGGAAACATTTGCGGGCCAGTCTCCGGATGAAATCATGAATGATGAGAACTCAGCCACGGTGATCAGCATCAAACAGTCTCGTATCCTTCTACTGCCGATGGGAGGTCTTACCGGAGTTGAAGCTACCGATACTGATTGGAAGCGACAGCGGCCGAAGACTCAGAACTGGTTGGAGATCCAAGAAGCTGTGGACTCCTTGTCAGGACGCTCGTCTCTGTGTGCAATTCCGAACTGAGAGGCATCCACTGCCATTTTTCCATAATCTAATGTTTACGAAGAGATCTGCGATTGTAATTCCGTTAATACACCAATAATGAATTCCAACTTCCGTATCGTCTTAGCTCGAATGAATTGACATGCTTTTTTTTTAAAAAAA